TGCTGCTCTGTGAGTTATTTTAGACAGGCTTGCCTGCGCGTTATTTGCAAGTAAAATCCAACGTTTAGCTTGGAGGTGCACGAAGCTGTGCCTGCGACGAAATCTGCACTTCGAGGTGCTGTGTCTGGCACGAAACCTGCAAACGAAGCATGTTCTAAAGTCACGATTCACTGCACCGGTCACGATAGAGTGCCTTGAAGATCACCACCATGTCCAAAGTGCTGCGCCTGCCACGAAATCTGCATTTCGAACTAAAACCGTTCCGATCCCTTGCGCCTCTCACGAAAAGTCAACTTTGGACCACGAAAAACGAGGTTTCCCTTGCCTTGCGCGAAAAGTGACACCACAGATTTCTGCAAGCGTGCGCAGTTGAAATGCACGGCGAACAACTTTGAGAGGCGCAAATGTGCTGTAGAAAACCACGGAAAAGCGGGACCGTGCAACTCCGATTAGACACCGGTGCTTGACTACCACCACAAGAACCTCTGGTGTGTCCACACTGTTTGGGGAAAACATATTTACTATTTTTTGGTTTTCGGAAGAGCGCAACAAAGGAGGAGTGAATGGCTGTGGGTCGAAGCTGAGACATTTTGGGTGACCTGCCTCCATCCCCAAACCAAAGTTGACCCTCCAGATGGGCACCCTTCTCCAGGTCACCCTTGTTCACGGGAAAACTGAAATCACATTGAATGACATTTGAATCATGTTTGATCTTATTTGAAGCTGATAAAATCCTATTTGTGCACTTTTTTGCTTTAAAGTTCAAAAACGTGATTTAAAATGATTTGAACATGTAGAAATTGTATTTGCCACTTTTGTATCTGAACGTGAGGTTCATTAACAGGCTGACAAGTAAATGCTTTAATTTACTATTGGTGTTTTTTAGGATTTGAGATTATATTGCTTTTGATACTTCAAGTTTGTTTTTAGAAGAACATGTGAGTTTTATAAGCAACTAAACCTTTGGGCGGTGGAGCCTTCACTGACTGACATTCATTGATTCATGGGTCACTTGACATGGCAGGCGCAAGAAATAAATTTCAACTAAATGCAACCTGACAGATGGGTCACAATTTGCATTCTTTGTCGCTGTTGCTGAAGGGCGCTGTGCAAGTAAGATTTCACGAGACGCAAGATTGGAGATCAATTCATTTGCTATTGAAGCGGGCTGGCCAGATGACTGGGTGATGGTTCGCCTGCGCATCAGGGAAAAGCCCGAGGAAGATCACCAGTGATCAATAATGCATCGATCCTTTCGCATGCTGTGCCAACCCCAGCAAGAGCAGTTCCTGTTCGAAAGGCAGCGGCTGCTAGGCCTAACGATGGGAACAGCACTGTTGTTATTGCTGAAGGGCACAGTGCCACGGTTATGATGCGAATGTCACTGCTGTTCCTGATGTTGATGGGCCCCGCGCCGCAGCTGTTGACGATGGGGGCAGTGCTGTTGCTGATGGGCGCCGCGCCGCTGTTGCTGATGCAGTTTCTGCTCATGGAGAAAGTGCCGATGTGCCTGGAGAGTCGCTTGTGCAACCGTGCATGATCTGTCATAATGAGATGGTGGAAAGTGAGCAAGAGCTTAGAGCCTTGTCATGTGGCCACATGGTGCACTCGGACCACCAGTCAATCAGGGCCATCATGGTTCCGTCGTAGACCAGCCAGAGGCTTGAAAGATTTGATGAGGGTTTGTCAAAGTGTCTGACTGACTGCGTGGTTTGACCACACGCGCTCAGTGATTTTTGTCTTACGAGATGGGTTACTATGTGGGAGAAGTACGTATGTAGACTACAACCAGCCAATTAGTTCTGGTAGTTCTGGGGTGAGTGACATGGCACGCCAGCTTAGATGGAAAATGTGTGATGCTGGATTGTGATTCAGTGTGACGCTTGATTGGTTGATCGAATCAATCAAAAGGGTTTCCCTTAGCCTTAGAGATCAGTGTGTCTTATGAATGTGAACAGTACTTTGAGTTTTGAGCATCCTTCATTCTACATGCTTGCTTGTCAGTGTGGCAATTGGAGGATTTTCTTATTGTTGCTTTTTCACTGAATGGATACTGGAGCTCGAGGATTTTGTATTGGAATGTTGACTGAATACGGTTGAATACTAGTTTAACACTGTTGTACTTTACTTTTCCGGGGCTGGAGTTGCACTTTTTTGCGGGGTGGGGGGTGGGGTGTCACTTTTTTTTTTCGCACTTTTGTGTCACTTGTATGAATTTGCAAATGGCAGCTTTTTGCCCTTTTGTGTCACCTGTATATGTATGCAGTTCAGTGCACTTTTGTGTGACTTCTTTGCGCTTCAGCGCACTTCAAACCTGATTGGTGATGAAATCTGAGGACACATCAACTTTTATCATATTTGTGTCAAAAAAGCGCACAAATCAAACTGATTTGAGCTGATTTGGAACTAAAAAACACCTCGGTCCCACCATCGTGAAACCAAGACAGCCCTGCTGGGTGGCCCAGTGGTGCCTCTGGTCTCAAGATGAGCCTAAAAAAGATTATCTCCGCGCTCCGCGCGGAAGAGGAATAGTAGCGATCAAAGTTTGAATCAAAGACAGACATATATACACGTGTCGTCGGACTTGCTTTTGTCCGGCACGCCTCGCGCGCAAGAGTATTGCCGCAATGGTTTTTGATTTGAACATAACGAACAGTGTGCTTTGATTTGGGGTCTGAGTATGAGTGCTGTTGGCAAAGTGCAGTTGTCTGATGATGATGACTCTGAAGGTTGCATTTCTAGGACATTCCTATGATTTTGATATGTCGTCATCCCATTGGGGCATTGAGCCCGGCGTCAATTCTGTGATCTTCAAAGTATTGATAGACAAGCCTATCGCATATTATTGGAGCATTGAGTAAGGGTCGAAGCTGAAGGGCACTGTGCCAACCTCTTCATCTGGATGTCGAATTAGCAGACTTCCTTTAAATGACGGAGACTGGGCACAAGTTCCATGTCACAGGTCAATGCAAGCATGTGGAGGACGGATCGAAAGTTTGCTACGTTACATGGTGCCCAAAATGTGTCAGCCAAAGTGATGTGTATTACAACTTGTCACCGCTCGACTGTAATCCTTTGCTCTATGAATTATGAATCACGTTCTTTGCAGGGTGCCCGCCAAAAGTTGTTGGGCAAGTTGGCGTAATTTTTTGGTGAGCGATCACTTTGAACATGGTTTTTTGATAAAAAAGGGTGTTTGCGGTCCGCGACATTCCTTGATTTTTTCAGGCATGTTTTGATTGCTATGATTCCATGTCATGGGACTCAGACTCAGGCTTGCAGCGCAGTAAATTTCGCACGTGCCAGCCAGGTGAATCACCACGAAGATCAACAATGGATGGCCATGACTTGTTTGATGAGGTTGATGCTGATTGATCTGAATGTCTTGTCACGGATTGTTCAGTTTTAACCTAGACCAAAAATGGAGCCCTACTGCATTTTTGACTGAGTTTGATGTTGCTTGCAAGGGTTGGAATCCCTGCCAGCGCAGTCCTCTTCATCCAAACCCTGACTAGTTTCAACAAATTTACTTGTTACGGCTCCAGTGCTCTTCAGCAAAAATTTGGCTAGATTCAAAAAATCTTACAGTAACAATCCCTGCCAGCACAGTGCTCAGCAAAAAATTACTAGTTACTATTCTTACAATCCCTGCCAGCGCAGCCAAAACGTGACTACTTCCAAAAAGAATACCCAACGCCTTCAGCCAAAACTTGACTAGTTTCAAAAACCTTACTTGGTCACAATCCCTGCCAGCGCAGAGCTCTTCAGCCAAAACTTACTAGTTTCATAAACTTTCAACGAGGCCAGGGGCACAGTGCTCCTGGCCTCGTCGATTATCGTAAAGGAACCGTTTGTACTTAGTAGTTCTTTCATTGTGTTTTGTGAGTTGACTTGTCGCTCGGCTCGTCAACTTATCGTAAAAGGAAATGTTGAGCTTTCTTTTTGTTTGCAAGTTCACTGCAACTTTACTCGTGGACTTACTCGTGAAAATATTTTTGGTTCACTCATACTTTTACTCGGTGGGAAGTCTTGTTCAAAATCATTTCCAATCGTTTTTGTGTCATTTTTACTCTTATTTGAGTAGTTCCTAAGCATTTTAAGTTTTATTTGTGCCTTTTTTTGCTTAACTTAAATCTGATTAACTATGATCAAAGCAATTTCGAAAATGCAAACTAGCCAGGGTGACCTCAAAGGGTGCCCATCTGGAGGGTCAACTTTAGATTGCTGACTGCAAAGGCAATCCACCTGGCTTTGGGGTTTCAGGTTTTGGCCCACAGCCATACATGTGTTTGACTTGGCCTTCAAGCTGGACACTTGATTTCCGCACTTGATGAATTGACTTGTTGACACCAACATGGCTTTACAGACCAGCGCGAACACATAGGTGAAAATGTTTTTCTAAGCGCAAAGCCGGTTTTGCATTTCTTGAAAACTTGTTGCTCAACTTTATTGTGGCATAGTTTTGACAAAATGGCACATGACAGTCACATGTCAACAACATCACATTGCATTGATGAAATGGAGATGCCAAGAGCATCAACCATGTTTGGGACTGTTCGCAGGAGGCGTTGATTTATCAGAGGTTCATGATATTTGGATTGTTTGGTGGTTTTCAGGTTTGCCCAGTTTTGGCCGATGCCAATGAGCGTCATCAGGTGTTGAGAGTGGTGGTGTCCATCTTGTTTCATTGCAGCACAGTGTTTTCTGACAGTTTTTTTTGTGCTAATCTTTAACGTTGGTGCAAGTTCTGCGTCATGTGTGGATTTTATGGACAGTGGCCAAGCTTTTAGTTTAACCGCATGACACAGAGGACAAGGTGTTGATGTGCCCGCATTTCAGGATGCAAGGCAGAAAGGGGGAAGCGATGCAGAAAGCCAAGTGAAAACAATAGGCAGCCAAGTAAAAACAATAGCATTGGTTTCATGGTATCGTGGGAGGTGCAAAACAGCGGCGTTGTGACATTGATGCCAACACAATACCAACCAAATCAAACTTCAATAGTTTTTCCGAATCCAATTCGCATGGTCGCATGGCCGTGCTCATTCGCCACAATGTCGGCATCGGACGTGTTTCCTTTGGCCGAATAGCTTGCCGCAACCTTCACAAGGGTCATGTGACTCGGCTGTTGGGCGTTTAACTCAATTTGATTCCTTCAACTTCAGATTTTGTGCGAACCAAGCGAGACTTTGAACCAAGGTAGGTGCCACGTTGGAGAAGCTCAACTTGCCACGCCATCATTGGCTGAAAGAAGTTGAGCAGGCTCCAGAAAAGGCAACAGTTCGGAGGACAGTTGTTGTCGGGGTTGTTTGGGAATGGTTAAAAATATAAGTTCCATCAGGAGTTTTGTCTACAAATAGTCAGGATGAAGGACACCTATCTCCGAGAACTGGGGGAAGCGCGAGCAGAATTGCAAGGTCTATTTGGTTTCTTGCATTGCAATACTTTGAGAGGTTCGTGGTTTGTGGGGAGGATTGGCTGAGAAACTTTTGTGCACCTACTGCTTGTTTTCGGATTCTTGAACAATTTTGCTTGACCTAGGACCAGAAGAGCGCAGCGCTATAGTGAAACCAACAGTCCAGGAAGAAGAGAGAATACGTGACACCAAGAAACGGCGGGAACTCAACAATGAGGCGCAACATTTTAGCTGAAGGGGTAGTTCGCAAACCAACGTTGTTTCTATTCTGTTTTTTTTGTTCGTTTGGTCACACGATTCTTCGTGTGATAGCAAATGCCATTTGTGCCTTTCAACACTGCATTATTATATAGTTAAGGTTTACTTGCACCATAGGCGCTTCGGGCTTACCGCATGCTGCGCCCACAAGCAGCACCATTTTATGAGGAAGACGCGATGCTTGGTATGAAGGCAAGTTCAGATCATCCAGAATAAAGTAGTTTCAGTGAATTTGTGCAAGAGTTTGGGAGACAAATTGGATCCCTGGTGTGAAAGGCCAAGATGAACAAGATCACAAAAGAGGAGGGTGACAGCCATTATTGAGCCTTTCGTTACCCAACGACAATGGCATTAACATATTTTTGTAGACCCCAAACTATATGTGTTCATTCGGCAAAAGAAACAGCCAATGTGGTCACCGGAAGTAACATGTATAAATCGGTCCTGTTGAAAGAGAAAGGGTTCACTGCCTTACCAGTTTCTTCTGAAACGCCTTGCCTTGCGGTCTCAGAGACTGTCAATAGAATAGAGGCATTGTTGTTCAGGACACGAACTTGCCAGACTTGCCAGAGTCAGCTAAAGCCAACGAGTTTGTAGATCCTTTTCAGCAGTACCTGCCGGTGGTGAACCAGAAGGCGGCCACAGATAAATGCATGTTTTTGTGGACTGCTGATTCAACCTGCAATGCCGCCTCTTTGAACTTCTTGAAAGGCCTTTCTTTTTGCCCTAGAGTCGGTCACAGCGTCTTTGGCAAAGGCAAGACAAGTTAAGCCATTGCAATGTGGATCATCAGCAACCCCCAAATGCACTCTGGTGCTGGCTCATGATTTTGCGTACCAGCTGAAGTGAAGGACCTTCGAGTCCTTTGCAAGTGGATCCACGGTCCCGACAGTGTATCTGAAGAGGATGGTCCCCAGGCCCTTGGTTCCTCGGAGATTTTTAGTTTTTCTTGCTGCTACCTTTTGCTTTGGACCCTCTTGCTTGGATTGAGGCTTGAGCCTAGCTAAGGATTTCGGAAGCTTGTGGATAGACTGTTCGATCTCAAGCTGAAGAAAGATCCTGATGCTGTTGCTTGCCAATTTTTGCATATTGATCAATGTCAACAGATGTCAATTGTGTCTTGAGGGTTCTGCAACTTGAGAGTGACAGGTTAAAAACCTGAAAACTGTGTCAAATAAGTGCAGCCCGCTGTGCGCAGGCTGCAGGATGGGTTGAGAAGCACTGGTCTTTGCTGGAACAACTACTTCCGAAAGAGGTGGTTGCACCAAAAGAAGAAAAAGAGCGTGGAGCTTGGACCAGCTAAGCAGAGTTTAAGCTGTGGGTGCTGGCAACTCTGAGGGAAGCTATTGCAAAATGGCTTGAAGGTCATTTGTCGTGCTTGGGCAAGCATTTCAAGTCCATTCATCTTGAGTCTTGGGACAAGTTTTCCAAACTGGAAGCACTGGATCGTGCTGAGGCGAGTAAAAGAGAATCAATTGCGATATGAGGAAACTGATCAAAAGCTCTTTGGCCTGCTGATCGGTCAAAATCAACTATCGATGTTAGTGTTCGTTGAGGATTGAGGAAACTGAGTTTTACATCATGTTTGGGACAAAGGATCTTTCTCCATAGAGAGAGGAGTGCCGCAGAGTATTACAACTTTGCCGAGGAGCTTGTGCACAGAAACGTTCGTCAGAGGATGCTTGAGTTCTTCTACTGTTGTGTGAAGGATTTTCCATATGATGACGACCCATTGCCTGGCTTGCTTGCTGATGAGCGAAATTTGGACTTCCCCCTTGAAAAGGCCAGTGGGCTGTATTTGCAAGTGCAAGTGGCTGCAAGTGTATGTACAGTGTAAAGAAGGAGTGTGCACTGTACCACTGTACAGTGTCTTTGTACAATGTAATTGAAAGTTTATGTACTGTACAGTGTATGTAGAACCAGGGAAAACAGACATAGTTAAGTTGACTTAGAATGCCGTTATGGTCTCTTCTCGATCTCCACTCTGCAAGGCCACGGAGTTCATGCAGCTCTTTCTGAGGATAATTTCCAGCAGCAAGTGTGCAGATGATGCGAAAGGGATCTTGGGAGAAGATACTCACCAGCACGGGGGTCAAGATCAGGGTGGTAGTTGTTTTGGTTCCAGAGCTTTTCCATTTTCTTTCTTCCTTTGTGTCTGGTTGAGATGTGTGCATCCCCTGTCCACAAAAAAGGATGGCACAGTGGTGGCGGACGTGGCGAATCAGTTCCAGGAAGCATGTGTTTGACTCCGACAGTCCGACAGTAGTATTTTCTTAGTCTGATAAAAGATCCGCTAATTGCCTTGTGAAGGCGCCCCCACTGAAATGGAAAGAAGATGAAGTGCACTTAAGAACCACAATGCATATTTGTCTTGTTCCTTCCAGATAATAAACGATCAACGATCCAGCCGCAACCACAGCTTTTCTTGAGGACTTGGTCTGGTCGCTTGAAGAGATTGGCTTGCGTCACATGCCTAGCATGCTTTGGTGAATTCAGCTAACTCTTTTTCGACCTTGCTGGCTTCTCCAAATTCTGCTGAGGAAATTGGCTGAAGATGGACTTGGATGAGTTGAGGAGGAATCTACCCCAGGGTCCTTTGTCGCCATTGACCCTGTCTTCTGAGATGCCTGGCAGAGGAAATTAGGACTGAAGAGGTCCATGGGTGCTGACAGTTCTCTGTTCACCAAGGAATGCAGATGATTTGAAACTTGAACCAGATGATGCGACTGGGCCAGCAAAAACACATAATCTATAAGTTCTAGAAACAAAAAACTCTTCGCCCTCTCGTCATCTGATTCACTTTCTCTATTGATTTTGCAACAAAGGTAGAAGTGGCAAAGACTATGCTCAAGTGCGCGGCCCGGGGAAAGGCCGACCTTCTCGATTTCGAGGCAGGGCTGCCTGGCGCTTCGTAAAGCTGTGAATGATTAAGATGACCTTCTCAAGACAGTGTAGGAAGACTTTTGTTGCATGTGAATTCCAAATGCACCGAATGCATTTAGCTAGGCCTCAAGATTTTCAATCGATGTGTATCAGTTCAACAGGCCGTCGACCCTTACAAATTGCTATGCGGAAAGCCTCCAAATGTGGACGAGTTTCACAAGGAGCTCAGTGGTCTTCCGGAACCTGTGCTATGAAACTTGGACAACTAGCCTCCAACCTACTAGCGATGCGATGGCCTACAACCTACTAGAGATGGCCTCCAACCTACTAGCGATGGCCTCCCACCCACTAGCGATGGCCTCCAACCTACTAGCTCGATGGCCTCCAATCTACTAGCGATGGTCTCCAACCTATACTAGAGATGGCCCCCCAACCTGCTAGCGATGGCCTCCAACCTACTAGCGATGGCCTTCAACCTACTGCTCGAACCTACTATAGAGATGGCCTCCAACCTACTAGCGATGGACTCCAATCTACTAGAGATGGCCTGCAACCTACTAGCGATGGCCT